AGCCACTAGTCTCTGCCTCTGCGTGTGGCTCCAGCCTGGTCCTTGTTTAGATCGTTGCACACACATGGCAGGGGAGCAGCGCAGAGCACGTGACGTGCCGTGGCTTTGCCTTGTCGGCCAAGGAAAACAGGCAGGTGCACCGGCTCCCGTTCTCATTCCAAGTCCGAATGCTGTGAGCCTGTGACATAGTAGGTTCAAAATTTCCGGTTGCCAGCGGGCAGCCGGACCTGCAAAGTTCGTGGCCGGGGCATATCGAATTGGTGCCTCTTTTCCCCCTCTTCAGACGCTCGATCGGTGTTGTTTGGGAATCGAACAAAAGGATCGCATCGCACCGCGCACCTGATACTCCGATCAATCAACCAACCAACAAAGTTAAAGGTTAAAGCAAGGTCCCGTATCGGAGAACACATGATCTGCAGTTGGGGGATTAAAGAAAATCGTGGGTTACATTAGATTTTTAAAAATGCTGCCTTTGCATGCATCCCTTTTCTGGAAGGATCCGACTATCCGAGACGATTATTGCCAATCATAACCTTTTCGTGCAACCATCTTTTTAAAACGAAAGTGAGTTTAAAACTTCAAATTCATTCATACCTGCTGGTTACTATACCGATCGAGAAAGGTAAGTTCTGACTTCTCACCGTAGACTATCCTCATAATCAGGTAGCCTTGCCGGTTGCCATTTGTTTCTGCCTAGGCGAGAAACACAATCAACCTGTTCGCTTGCTCGTAAACGATCGTAAATTTCCAGCGGGGAATAGTGTTTTTCTCTCACACCAAACCAGCCAACAGTAAATAATCCACGATACGATACGGCCTCCCGATCAGGCCGAATATTTGTTAGCTTTGCTGCCTCCCTCGGTTTTCTATTTCCAAGGTTTTCCTTTTTTTCAAAGTGAGTCAAAACTGCTCTCGAAAGGCTATCAAGTCTAGTCTTGCCGAGCGAGATGAGACTGATTGTATGGGCAAAACAATCAAACATGCCCAGCACGCTGGGCCTAACAATCCGACAGAGAAAGCAACGATTAGCTCCTAGTGAACTTGGTTGTCTGTGCAATTCACACGTTAAACCAGACTGACAGTCGCCGGATGACAGATAACATGTAACGCTCTATTATTAGCATAGCAATAAACCAGAATAGCAAATGCCATGTAAGTGTAATTATTTTTTTAATGATTTTCTTTCTAACTCAAGTGAGCCAAAACTACTCTTTCAAGCTGGCAAGTCTAGCCATGCTGAGCGAGATGAGACTAGCTGGATGGGCAAAACAACCAAACATGCCTAAGACGCTGGATCCGATGGTCTCCTGGTAGAGAAATATTCCAGCTATTAGTGAACTTGGTCGTTCATGTGATTCACGTGTTGAACCAGACTAGCAGTCGCGATGTGACAGATAACATATAACGCTCTATTATTAGCATAGCTAGCAGTCCCACATGTTTTGGGTCATCAGATTGACCCAAAACTTGTTCAAATAAACCAGAATAGCAAATGCCATGTAAGTGTAATTCTTTTTTTTATGATTTTTGTTTTCAACTCAAGTAAGCCAAAACTACTCTTCCAAGCTAGCAAGTCTAGTCATGCTGAGCGTGATGAGACTAGCTAGATGGGCAAAACAACCAAACGTGCCTAACACGCTGGATCCGATGGTCTCCTGGCAGAGAAAGCCATTGATTCCAGCTACTAGTGAACTTGGTCGTTCCTGTGATTCATGTGTTAAAGACCGGCAATCGTGAGGTGACAGATAAAATGTAGCGCTCTATTATTAGCCTAGCTAGCGGTCCCATATGTTTTGGCTCATCAGATCGATCCAAAACTTGTTAAAATAAACCAGAATAGCAAATGCCACATAAGTGTGATTCCTTTTTTAATGATTTTTCTTTCGAACTCAAGTAAGCCAAAACTACTCTTCCAACCTGGCAAGTCTAGCCATGCTGAGCGAGATGAGACTAGCTGGATGGGCAAAACAACCAATCATGCCTAACACGCTGGATCCAATGGTCTTTTTTCTTTCCAACTCAATTGAGCAAAAATTACTCTCTCAAGTTAGCAAGTCTAGCCATGTCACGCGAGACGAAACTAATTGGATGGGCAAAACAACCGAATGTGCTTGACACGTTGGACCCACTTAATGGTCTGCTGGCAAAGAAAGCCACTGATTCCAGCTACTAGTGAACTTGGTCATCCTTGCGATTCATGTGTTGAACCAGACTGACAGTCACGAGGTGACAGATAACACATAATAACGCTCTACTACCAGCATAGCTAGTAGTCTCACATATTTTGGGTCATCACAGACACAAAACTTGTTAAAATATACCAGAATAGATAATGCCATGCATGTAAGAGTAATTAATTTTTTTAATGATTTTTCTTTCCAACTCAATTGAGCAAAAACTACTCTCCCTAGCTGGCAAGTCTAGCCACGCCAAGCAAGACGAGACTAATTGGATGGGAAAAACAACCAAATGTGCCTAACACGCTGGATCCAATGGTCTGCTGACAGATAAAGCCACTAATTCCATCTAGTAGTTAACTTGGTTGTTCTTGTGATTCACGTGTTGAACCAAACTGACAGTCGCGAGGTGACACATAACACATAACACTCTACTACTAGCATAGCTAGCAGTCTCACATATTTTGGGTCATCCCATACCCAAAATTTGTTAAAATATACCAGAATAGCAAATGCCATGCATGTAAGAGTAATTAATTTTTAATGATTTCTCCCAAGCTGGCGAGTCTAGCCATGCTGAGCGAGATGAGACTAGCTGGATGGGCAAAACAACCAAATGTGCCTAACACGCTGGATCCAACGGTTTGTTGGCAGAGAAAGCCACCGATTTCAGCTTCTAGCCTTCTACTGAACTTGACCGTCCTTGCTATTCACGCGTTGATAACTGGATTGACAGACGCGAGGTGACAGATAACATCTAACCCTCAGACTCCTAGCATAGCTAGCAGCCCCACATGTTTTGGCTCATCAAATTGACTTAAAACTTGTTAAAATAAACCAGAATAGCAAATAAATTCCAGTAAGAGTAAACTATTTTACCAATGAGTTTCCTTTCCAACTCAAGTGAACCAAAATTACTCTCCCAAGCTAGCAAGTCCTGCTATGTAGAGCGAGACCAGACTAGTTGGATGGGCAAAACAACCAAACATACCTAACATGTTGGATCCAACGGTCCACTGGTAGAGAAAATTTCTGCTTCTAGTGAACTTAGTCGTCCTTGCGATTCACACTTTGAACTGAACTGGCAATCACAAGGTGACAGGTATACATAACGCTCCACTACTAACATAGTAGGAAGTCCCATATGTTTTGGGTCATCGGATTGACCCAAAACTTGTTAATTTAAACTAGAATAGCAAATAGCATGTAAGAATAATTATTTTTTTCAAGGATTTTTTCTAACTTAAGTGAACCAAAACTACTCTCCAATTTTGGCGAAGTCTAGCCATGCCAAGCGATATGAAACTAGCTGCATGGGCAAAACAACAAAACGTGCCTGACATGCTAGATCCAACGATCCGCTGGCAGAGAAAATCATCGATTTCAGCTCCTAGTGAACTTGGTCGTCCTTGCGATTCATACGTTGAACTGGACCGGCAGTCGTGAGGTGGCAGATATCACATAACTCTCCACGAGTAGCATATTAGATGGTCCTACATGTTTTGGGTATCCAAAACTGGTTAAAATAACAAATGCCAGTAAGAGTAACAAATTTTTTTAACGATTTCTCTTTCCAACTCAACTGAGACAAAACAACTTTCCCTGTTGGCAAATCTTGCCATGTCGAGCGAGACGAGACTAGCTGGATGGCAAAACAACTAAACGTGCCTGACATGCTGGATCCAACGGTCCACTGGCAGAGAAAGCCATCGATTTCAGCTCCTAGTGAACTTGGTCGTCCTTATGATTCATGAACTCACAGCCACGAGGCGACGGATACGTAATGTTCCACTACTAATATAGCTGGCAGTCCCACATATTTTGGATCGTCGATCGACCCAAAACTTGTTAAAGCAAACTAGAATAGCAAATTCCATGTAGGAATAATTAATTTAGAGAGAAGAAATGAAATAGGCTAGCTAACCCATAAATCATCATTTGATACGCACTTGCTTCTAGTCTAAGACCCTATTTGGATCCTATAAATAATAGTTAGTAGCTAATAGTTAGCTACTTTGGATAAAAAAAAGGTTCAGCTAAATAGTGTAGCTAATTGTTAGCTGAATACCCGACTAACAACTATCTCAGTTGAACGAAAGCAGCTAATAGGTGAAACAATGACCGAAATACCCGCCCAAGCTGGCACGTATCCAATGTCCCTCGTGCTAGCTACTGTTATCGAGAGCCATTCCTGCACCACATCGTCCCATGATTCCAAGAAGCGGCACAATGGCGGCTGCTACAGCAGCAGCCTGAAGTGTCCAGCAGAAGGTGCTGTTTCGTACAGTGTACAGCGAGACTCGTACGTACAGAATGTTCAAACCGGCATGAATGCATATGCATGCACCACGTCCTGACTGAGTCCTGACAGCACTGCAAGAGGACGACAGCATGCACGAGGTCGATGCACATGCTACGCGCACGACGTTCTTGCGTCTTGCCCGGCCCGCTCCCAAACAGCTAGCATGCAGTGCTAGGCTGCCGAACGCCGAGTGGCGCGTAGCGAGGCCCAGGCGAGCGCACCAAGGAAGCACGACTGCACGAGACGAGGCGAGGCCAGGACAGGCCAAAGCCAAACCAGGCGGGGCACGCCACGCCGAGACGAGCGCAACGAAGAAATTGTGGAGCGGCACGGCAACGGGCAACGGGCAACGGCAACCCCACCACCGCCTCACCGAGAGACCTCCCGTCCGTCACCAAACGGCGATTAAATACCCTTAAACGCGCCCGCGCGACCCAGAGACCCGGCCCCGCATTCCATTCCATTCCGTGCCACCGCTGCCGCGCTGCGTCTGCCGTCTGCGTACGTCGCCCGCCCGCAGCATGAACGGCGTCGGCGACGCTCACATGGCCGCGATGATGCAGCAGGCGCTGGGGATGTCGCTGCCGATGGCGGCGTTCGTGGCCGAGCAGGGCAGCGCCAAGCTGACCAGGCCGCCGGGGCTGCCGCCGACGCCGCCGCAGGCGTTCGCGGCCCTGCAGCGCGGGGACGTGTGCATGGAGGCCGTCGACCCCGCGGCGCAGCAGCAGGGCCCGCGCAAGGCGCACCGGCGCTCCCGCAGCGACGTCCCGTTCGGGTACTTCCCGCCGGCGTCGGGCGTCGGGGGCCACGGCCACCACCAGCTGCTGCCTCCCAAGGTGGAGGCCAGCTGGGGCGGCCACCTCCACGGCGGCGGAGGCGGCGGCGACGACGACCTGTTCAACGCGTACCTCAACCTGGAGGGGCTGGACGGGCTCAACTCCTCCGACGACCGCCACGACGACGGGGACAGCCTCGGGAGCAGCATGAAGACCAACGGCGCCGACAGCAGCGAGAACGAGTCGGAGGAGTGCGCCGCCGACAGCCGCGCCGGGATCCGCCTCTGGACCGAGGCCTCCGCCGCCGCCGACAGGCGGGAGGGGCTCAAGAGGACTGCCGCGGGGGAACCGGCCGCCGCGCCGGCCTTGGCGCGCCACGCCAGGAGCCTGTCCATGGACAGCCTCATCGGGAAGCTCAACTTCTCCGCCGGCGCGACGGGCGCCGCCAACGGCGTCATTCCGGGGCCCAACATGTTCAAGCTCGAGTTCGGCAGCGGCGAGTTCACCCCCGTCGAGATGAAGAAGATCATGGCCGACGAGAAGCTGGCCGAGATGGCGCTCGCCGACCCCAAGCGCGTCAAGAGGTAAAACTACTCCCACTACTTACTCAATGCCACTCATCTTAAATCTTTGAGGTCTCGCGCGTGGCTCCATTGTTCTTCTTACTTCTTTGGATCCATCGACCTTGCAAAATGTTTAGCTTTGGACTGATCGAGCTGTGGTTCGTTGCTTGCTATTGCTAGGGTGCTGGCCAACAGGCAGTCGGCGGCCCGGTCCAAGGAGCGGAAGATGCGATACATTGCGGAGCTGGAGCAGAAGGTTCAGATCCTGCAGACGGAGGCCACCACTCTCTCCGCCCAGCTCACGCTTCTTCAGGTACCTAGCTAGCTACTCTTCCCTATGCTGCCCTCGCTTAATCTCCAATGCACTTTGAATTGCAGCGAAATCCTTCGTGCCGATCGTTTGATCGTGTGACTCAACCAATTTTCTTTTGCCTTCACAGCGTGACTCCGCGGGGATCGCAACGCAGAACAACGAGCTCAAGTTCCGGCTGCAGGCCATGGAGCAGCAGGCGCAGCTGCGTGACGGTGCGTCTCCAAATCTCACTCACCTCACCTGCACACTTGCTTCTTCCTCGCTGTGTTCGTCAACGTCCGGCCTGTGTGCTAGGCACTAGGAGTAGCATGCTAGATAGGAGTCTTGGATAAGTTAGCAGAAGCAACTCATTGAAGTTGACGTTGACATGCTGGCTTGCCCGGCCCAGTTCGTGTGCCCACGGCTCTGAAAGTCTGAATCGTGGGTGGGAGCTCGTGTTGGCATTTGGAGACAGCCGGGTTGGTGTGGTTGGTGGTTGGCTGCTTTTCTATGCGATCCCTCGCGCAATACCGGTAGTCGTTAGCATGCAGTACTGCTACTGGAGTCTAGGAAGATGTGCTAACCATCATCTGGGAGCCAAGATTTGCTCGTGTTTTTGTTTAATGTCACGGCCCTTTCTTCAGATAAAGTATGTGGTTCCTCTGCCGATGTTAGTGTCTAGCATGTAGTAGGAGGAGCATGCACTCTAAAAAATTGCGGCAGGCTAGCGTATCAACATGTGCTTTGAGAGTAACATGTGTCAGCTATAGAGTTTAAGACGTCGTTTGGCAAGTGATGGGCATGGGCTGTTGGCCCACAGTTAGCCTCCCGACCACCGAGATGATCTCCAGACCACTCCGTTGGTCTCACAGGATTACCGGCTCACGACAGTGAACCACTCCACCGATCTTGCCGACCACCGGCTCGGTGAGTGGAGCACTTGTCGGTCTCGCCCGAGCACGCTTAGTGTTGCCGAGCACCCACTAGCCGTCAGGACACGCACGTCTGGGCGTTGTCCGTACCCACACACTACGGATCAAGCTAGAAGAGGAAGGAGAACGAGCAAGCATGCACACAATACAAGGCAACAGCGTTGGCCAAGAAGCCTGTCTGTGTGATGGTAAATCTGAGCTCTCTTTCTTTGAGAGTTGCCATACATGTCTATTTATACAACTCTAACTATCTAGTCCATGTGCGGCGCCCATGCCGCACAAGAATTCAGATAATCTCGACATGGTCGACTCTGCAAGCCCTTTGCTGTTCTGATCAAGTCAGAGGGTGAGCCGTCATGGGCGCTTGCACCTAAAGCGGCTATTGTATCACAAAGCAGGAGGCAAAGTCGGCGTCGCCTTCCCTTCTGTGTTCACACACGTGAGACGCCTAAGTCGGCGCCGCCTTCCTCTCATTGTGTTCTCACAAGGTGACAGAGATTAGCTAACAATCTTCCCTAATCCTCATCGCTAACCCTTGTAACCCCTCCATGCCGATCATCTCCTTCACTCAAGTGGTCGAAGTCTTCCGAAGCGGCTTGGTGAGGACGTCCAGCGAGTTCTTGACCGGTTCGACAAACTCGATGACGATCGCCTCCATCAACACAGGTCCACGAGGAAGTGGAACTTCACGTCGATGTGTTTACTCCGGTCGTGCGTAACCGGATTCTTCGCGAGGCGATGGCGGCGGGCTGGTTGTCCACCATCGGTCTTTGGTGGGTGAGCTTCCACGCCGTTAGCTCACCCAAAGACCGGCGAGCTCCACACAACAACACGCAACACGCGTGGCCACCGCTACGTGCTCGCCGCACGTAGATAGCGCTACCACCTTCTGCTTCGGCCGACGACCATGAAATTGGGGCTGACAGGAAGGCGAAATACGCCCGGAGGTGCTCCGTCGTCGTCGATGTCCCCGCCATGTCTCGCATCGGCGAACACCGTGTGAGTCAGCCTACTTCCCCGATCTTTGGGAAGATGATTCCATGATTCACCGTCCCCTTGACGTGCGCGTAGTAGCCGCTTTACCGCAGCCCGATGATCCTCTCTCGATCCTCCATGAAGCGACCGCGTAGCCCACGGTGAACGCAATGTCCGGCCTTGTGTGGACTAGGTAGCGCGAGACCGCCGACAATGCTTCCGGTGAGTGTTGCATCTACTTTCGCCAGCGGTGCTATCCTTCGTCGACCTTCACCGCTCCTCCATCGAGTCACGCATGGCTTGCACTCCACCATGCCGCTCCTCTCCAACGCTTGGAGGCATACGCGCTTTGCCCGGCGTGAGTTCCTCCTTCCCCTGTCTCACCTCGATGCCGAGGTAGTAGGAGAGCACCGAGATCGCTCATTCGAAACGAGCTGCCATCTCTCGCTGAAGCCGTTGATATTCTCCGTCGCGCGCGTCGGTGGCGATTAAGTCATCCACATACCGCCGACCACGAGTTCTTCCTTCCCCGTCGTCGCGTGTAGCGCGCGTGCTCGATTCTTGCCTCTGAAACCCAAGCTCGCCCGGCGTGGTGTCAAGCTTGGCGTTCCATGCTCGAGGGCTTGCCTCGATCCAGCGCTTTTCGCGATCGAGCACCTGTGCTCCTCCCCTTAACAATGAACCACGGAGGTTGCCCGACGAAGACCGTTTCCGCCACTTCGCCGTTGAGGAAGGCCAATTTAACGTCCATGTGATGGACGCCGCCAGATCCTTTGTTGCCGCCAAAGCAAGTAGCAAGCGGACCGACTCCATGCGCGCGCTTCATCGTGCAAAGACCTCCTCGAAGTCGATGCCCTCACGCCGACAAAGCCTCGGCGACGAGGCGCGCCTTATGACAATGGCGCCGAGCTCGTCCTTTTTGACTTTGTACACCCACTTCAGCTGATCGGACGGCATCACGGGGTGGATCGACGAGCCGCCAAGTCTCGTTTTCCTCGATCGCCTTCATCTCCTCCAAAGGCATTGCCCGTCGCTAGTTTCCATCGCGCTCGGCTAAGCGCGAACGTGGTGGTGTTCTCCGCGCGCGGCGAGTAGCGGCTCTGCGTCGTTGAGCGACCTACCCGCCATACACGAGACTGTCTGCGCCGGCGATGTCGTCCACCTGCGGAACCTCAACTCCTCACCTTCGTGGTAGGCGTCCACGAACTCGGTGATGTCACTTGGAGGTGAGGCAAACTCGATCGAGGTGATGGAATTCTTCTTCCGCGGAGTGCCTGCATAGCACCGAAGTGCTCGGCCTTCGGGCCTCGTCATAACTCCTGCGGTGTTCGCCACCTGCGTAGGGTGTGCCCTCGATCTTAGAGTGGTCGGAACCACGATGAAGACGTCTTGGCTCCGCCACGGGAGTGCTCGGTACCCGTCCACGAAGTGGTCGCCGCCATCAGAGAACCGCTGGCTCCACTCTCTGGCGTGCTCGAATTCCTCGAAGTGCTCGACACTCCTCTCGGAGTGCTCGGCATCCCTCCCCGAAGTGCTTTCGGCCGCCCGAAGTGCTCGACTCTACCGCCAGAGTGCTCGGCGCTCCTCCCGAGTGCGTGGCACTGCTTCGCAGCAGTCTCCACCACCGTGGATGACCAAGTGCTCGACGACGAAGGTGTTGGTGAAGCCTCCGCTTCCCGTGCTCGGACATGCCGGTCCCAAAGCGCCTCCTCGTTGAACACAACGTCGCGCGAGAGCAGTCCACCTTGTCTCCGCGTGGGTCATAGAGCCGAGACGCTTTTGGTACTCTCCGCGTAGCCCAGGGAACACCATGGGTGTGCTCCTATCCTCCGCTTGGTGAGGTTCGGCTTCATCTTCCCCGACGTGGCGATGCAACCGAATGTCCGGAGGAATGACATGTTCGGCTTGCTCCGTGCAAGCTTGAACGACGCCTTGCCCGTTAGGGCTTTGGTTGGAGCGCGGTTGAGGATGAACACCGCCGTGGTCACCGCCTCTCCCGAACTTTGCGGCATCCCTTTGGCCTTCATCATGGATCGGCCATCGCGACCATTTATGCTCGTTCCGTCGCTCCACCACGCCATTCTGTTGTGGCGAGTACGACGCGTGTGGTGTGATGTTGCCCACACCTTGATCCGCGCGATGACGTAGCAAACTCCACCAAGTGAATTCGCCACCCGACCCGGTCCTCGAGAGGAGCTTCTTGCCGCTCTCGCCTCAGCGCGCGTCTTGAACTTCTTGATCGCCACCGTCGCTTCATCCTTGCTTTCGTCGGGAGTTGCGACCACATGTAGCGGCCGCAATCGTCCCACAGTAGGAGGAAGTACCGCCACCACCGCATGTAGCGAGCGTGATCGGCCCGCAGAGGTCGCCGTGAACTAGCTTCGAGAGCTTCCTTCGCGCGATACTTGGCCACATTTGGGAAAGGTAGCCTCTCCTCTTTCCGGCCAGTAGCGGTATCACACGGCTTCGCCTCCGTGTTTGATGTAGGTAGCCCTCGGACCATCTTCCCGGCCACCAAGCAAGCGTCCGGTTGAGATGTCCGAACCGGGCATGCCACATCCACGGTTCCTCGTGAGTGCCTTGCCGCCAGAGCAAACCATTGCTCTACCTTTGGTCGAGCGGTACAACCGATTCGAGGACCTCTTCACCTTGGCGAGAAGTCGCTGCTCCCGGTCTCTCGATCCTCGAACGCCGTCCTGATCGAACCTCGCTACGCTCATCCACCGACCAATGCGATGATGCTGAACGCAGCCTACGGGATGAGTATACATCCGTTAGCGTCGATGCTCCCCATTCACGCATCTCAAGATGATGGTGCCGCCCCTTGGATAGCCACCCTTGAGCCGTCACCAAACTTCACCGTCACCGTAACATCGCCGCCGAGCTCGGAGAAGGAGTCCTTGGAGCCCGTCATGTGGTTACCGCACCGAGTCTGATACCGCCATTGCTTGCTCGGTCGGCGCCCACATGCCCAAGATGAACTTGGGCGCGTGGTTCGTCGAGGTTGACGGTCTTCGTGGCCTTGCTAGATCCTTCCACCGTCGTCGCCTCTTCCCTCTCCATGGCCTCGGCGTGCGTGCGATTGCCGGCACGTAACGCCGCCATAAGGATAGTAGCCTCATCCTCATCATCGGCTTTCGCCGGTGAGCTGAGCCTTCTTTTCCTTCTTGCGATTTGGGCACTCCGTGCCCAATGGCCCATCTTCCCGCAACACCGCAAGCGTTGGAGTTGATTTGCTTCTTCACCGAAGAAGCCCTCGCCGCCGATGTTTGCCGTTGCCACCGCGACCGGAGGAGGCTGCCTTCCGGAGTTTCGTCGAAGCGACCCCTCCTCTTCCGTCGGCAGGAGTTTCTCGCCGCCCTCGCCGTTCTTTGTCGCTTTGCTCCAGCGCCGTCCACCACCGTGAGACGGCCCGCCACATCCTCGATGGTGAGGGTGGACAAGTCCAAATCGCGTCTCTATGGATAGAGCGATCTGGATGTACTTTGTCGACGCAGTGGAGGAACTTGGAGACCGCCTCCTCTTCGTCGATGATGACGCCGTGGCTCTTCACTTGCCGATGGCGTCTGCGCTGGAGGAGAAGTCCTCCACCGTTTCACCATCCTTGAACTTGAGGTTTGCGTACTCCTCGCTTGAAGGTGGGCGTTGCCTTCTTTGCGTGTCGGAACCGGCGCCGCATCGCCGCAATGGCCTCCCACGCCTCCTAGCTGAGCTCTTCGTCCCCAAACGGTTCCCTATACTCATGCCGGTACAACAATGAGTATATAGCCTCCATCACGACATGTCGTCTTCTTCCACGCTTGGTGCCCTTGTCAAAGAGATTCCAGAGCCGACGGGCTCGAGCTTGACCTTCATGGTCACCGACCACTCTCCATAGTTAGTGCGAGTCGGCTCGGCCAAGTGGTGCCGCCCGACTCCCGCCTCAGGCGAACAACTACCTCCGGTAGTGGTGGGCAGCCACGACAGCGAGTGCCGCGCCCGTCGCCCAACTCCGAACCGCCTATCATCGCCATCGGTTAGAATGACGACGGCGCTTATAACGGCTCGATACCACTTGTTGGCCCACGTTAGCCTCCCGACCACCGAGATGATCTCCGCACCACTCCGTTGGTCTCACGGGATCACCGCTCACAACATGAACCACTCCGGCCGATCTTGCCGACCACCGGCTCAAAGTAGTGGAGCACTTGTCGGTCTCGCCGAGCACGCGTTAGTATTGCCGAGCACCCACTAGCCGTGCGGACCCGTCGTGCGCGTTGTCCGTACCCACACACTACGGATCGAGCTAGAAGAGGAAGGGAGAACAGAGCAAGCACGCACAATACAAGGCAACAGCGTTGGCCGAAGCCCTGTCTGTGTGATGGCAAATCTGAGCTCTTTCTTCGAGTTGCTATACATGTCTATTTATACAACTCTAACTATCTAGTCCATGTCAGCCCATGCATGCACAATAACTAGATAACTGGCGGTCGACTTCTGGCTAGCGTATCAACATGTGCTTTGAGCCGTCGTCTGGCGCCTTTGCACCTCTACAATGACTCTTGTGTAACATGGGGGCAAAGTCGTGCGCCGCCTTCCCTTGCTTGTGTTCACACACAAGAGTTTAAGACGTCGCCTTGGCAAGTGTTCTCGGAAGGTGGCGATGATTAGCTAACATGGGCATGGGAATTGGAGGTGGGAATTTGATTTTTAGTCTCAATTCTTTGTTTGGTAAGTGTTGGGAATTGACAGAGGGAGTTAAAAATAGAATTGTAGTCCACCGTTTGGTACGTGAGCTTGGGCATGGGAATTGACAACATCATTACCGTTAATGGGTTAATTCTCTATTTTTTTTGGAGGATAATCTCGTATTTTGTTGTCTTGTTGAACAGCATTGAATGACGCACTGACAGGCGAGGTCCAACGCCTGAAACTCGCGACTGCAGAGCTCGGGGATTCTTGCTCGTCCAACAATCTAACCCAGCAGATCCAAATCAGCGTTCAGGAGCAGATGTTTCAACTGCATCAGCGGCAGCAGCAGCAGGCGACCCCGATACCGGTCTACCAGCTGCAGCAGGCGCAGCAGAATGGCGCAGGGAAGAAGCAGGAACCGCAGGAATGATCTCAGAGCCGTTATCCACCGCTGCGTGAGCAGGAAAAAAAAAGAAGAAAAGAAAAGATCGGCTTAGATGAACTGAAACTATTTCATTTCCTAACTCATTGGTTTTAAATGTCGTTAATAAGCACCGTGCATTTTTTTCCAGGTCATGAACCTGCTTCTTGTACCTGTTTATTTATTCTTTGGATGATACAGTTGCTTGAGTTACCAAACTGATCAAATTGTAGCCGATTAATATTCTTTTATAATACTAGTAGTGTTTATTGATGCTTTTGCACTTTGATACCTCAGGATCGATACAAATGCTTACCCACACCCGAATGTCTTTTGCGGGGTAACAATGTAGTCTGACATGATTCGGTCTTTCATCTTTGGAACCCCTCAACTGAAAGGGAACAGTATCTCCCAGTCCTAGAGATTTAAAAAAAAATGGACGAAGAGAGCTACTTATAAGACATTTTGCCTTTCATAGATTCTAGATGCTATAACCATGCCAAGATATATAGTAAAAATAATAATGTATATAAAAAGCCAAAACGTTTTATAATTTAAAACGGAGCGAGTACATATCTTTATTTGTGTGAAGACCAAAAGGTCTCGATTTCGTACAACACCAAGAGCTGCTAAAGACACTTAATAACGAATAAAAAAAACAAATGCACATGAGGGGCTTATGCTACGCATAATACAAGCTCATACAACGGAAGGTACACAAACGAATTGAGATATTTACAATGAACAGTCAGTTCCGTTTAAGCTACCAAACAGAATCCTCAACCATAGCCTCCTCGCTGTCACTGCCATCTGAACCTGAATCTGAATCACCTTCCTCGATGCCTTCATCCGTCTCAGCGTCAGACATCGGTTCCTCATTTCCAACTCCACTTCTGGACATTTGCTTCCTGAATTCAGGATCAACAATTCCAATCATGGCACTAAGAACACGATGATCATCGGTTATTTTGGAACTGGCATGCTCAACATTATTCTGGCTCCCAGCCGCCTGGCCCTCTGAATTCACCAAAGTTAACAAAGCATCAGCTGCCATGCTACCTCCATCTTCGTCTTGCTCTGTAGCATTGGCAGCATCTCCCAAGCTCCTTGGAGATTCGTTCTCCCCGTTGACAGATGGAGCTGTTTCCACTGCCCAGCTCCCAGCAACTTCTGAGGCCAACAGATCAGCCGTTCCGATAGCTCCAACATGTGTGTCCTCCCGTTTGCTCTCAGAGAAAGCACCCTCATGTTTTTCTTCGGAACAGTGGTCAGTGCCATCATTGGGGATTGGAATAGGAACCACATTTGCTTGTGGCTGCCCTGCATCTTTGAGCAATGCAGTAGGTTCCTCGTTCTCTGGAAGCTGCACTTCGTCCTCTAGCGGCATAGTCTCTCCTCCCATATTGTCACATCTTTGGTCATCACAACCAACATTACCAGCTTGGCTTTCCGTCTCAGGAACTTGCTCAGTATCTGTTACCTCCCTCTCAGGAGCTGCAGAAACAGGATTGCCCTGAAAACCCGGCCTTAATCTCTCTGACCTTTCTGGACTGGTGCATTCTAGACCTTGAGTGCTGCCACCATCGGCAGTACCATCATCATCATGCTGCTCAGTCATTTTGGCATCTTCGTCACTGGAACTATGTTCACTTACCTGGGTATTTTCTGGTGAAGCACTTGAAGCTCCCACTGTATTTTTTGAGCAGCCTACTGGCTTCATACCAGCATTATCAGTGGCTACGGTGGCTAGAGGCACCTTATTGAGATCCACACTCATTAAGGTGCTCTCATAGTTCTCTTCATCCTCCAAAGTTCTCTGCATAGCTTTCAGCTGTTCCTGCTGTTTCGCAAACAGAGAAGAGATTTCTTCTGTAGTTGAATAGAAAGCACGCAGCTGAGTCTCCCTGCAATAAGCAACATTGGGGGGAAATAGAAAAGGATTATACATAACTTGTAGCGCACAGCGCTTGGGATTCTTAATGTGCCTATATAAGACTGAAACATGATCCTTACCGTAGAATAATCCGTTCTCTAGCTCCTTGGTACCTCTGTTTCTCAATTGATAGATCTCTAATCGTTGCAGCTATTTCAAGCTCAAGTGCTGAGACCTTTGCCCATGCTTCTTCTCGAGCAGCCTGCTAACAAAAGGATATGCCTTGTCAGCAGAGAAACAACCTTCTATGCATGCTCATTTCACTGGAACATTTTTACCTTCTCATTCTCAAGTTCCTTCTTCAGTTTTCTCAATTCAGTTTCCAGATTTTCTGATTTCTGCAATCACAAGGGTGCAGAAGGGGGTAAGATATTATCAGCAACTAAAATACAGTGAATAAAAAATAATTAGATGTAATAACTGAAGTCTACCATGTACACTGCTTGGTACCTTTCGATTGTTGGCTGATACTAGCTGCTCGTCATGAAGTTGAGCTTCCAGCTCTCTTACTTTTTTCTCGGATGTTACAAGATTATCTCGAGCATCTTCCTGCATGAGAAGAAAGAACAAATAACTGTCATGCAGTAAAAGAATGGTAGATTCAAAGCAGTCATTGTGAAATAGCATACCAGCTTGGACCTCAAAGTTTCCACAAACAAACGGGTTTCTTTTTCTGATTCCTGAAAACAAGGAGTGGAAGGTTATTAAATCTGTGATGCAAAAAAAAAACATGTGTTCGTGATCAGACTAACTGGAGTTAAGTATAACCTGAAGCTTGCTAATAACTTCTTTCTGTTCCCTTTGTTGTCTAAGGTAAGACTCTGCCTGTTTCTTAATTTCTTCTTGAGCCTCGGCTTGCACTTTATGCAATGCAGATTTCAAGTCATGTGCAGCCTTATCACGCTCTTCTCTTCTTAAGTTTCGCTCCTCACTTAGCTGTCCCTCAAGCTCACATATGATTGCTTTCTGGCTGGAAATGTTTCAAAATTCAAAGATATGAGATCCTCATGTAATAGTAGATGATGCATGGAAAGAGATGGACATTCTTTGTATTTGTTGTCAAATGGTAACAAGTTGATCTCACGGCAATGCAGAATACCTTGAAATTATCTCATCAGCATCCGCGCGTGATTGTTTAGATGCACTAAGCCTTTCATCCAGATCTTTTATAGAGTTCTGTAACTCTGTATTTGATGTACTGAGTGAATCTATTTGCTTCTGTTTCTCCTCAAGTGCTGACCGAAGAGATTTAGTTTGATCAAGATAAGAACTCGACGTAGTTTCTCTCAACTCCTCAAGTTCCTACAGCAACAGATTTGCAAAATTTCAATTGTAGTAATTGTACAAAAAGAAAATGAGACATGATGACTGACGAGTACAAGCTTCAAGTAGAAAAACCTAATCAATGACAACAATGTAAAAGGGAATGGTTATATCCTCTCACAGATAAATAGGTATTAACTTGATTGAATATACGATTAATATATCAGGGGTATATTGAGTTGTGCACAGTGACAAACAATGGTGGAACATCATCATCAAGTAGACTAATATTAGAATTTAGAAGTGACATGGGCCATGAAATACAATATGCAAATTTATTTATGCTAGGAGAAATATAAGACCGAGACAAAAGCAAAAATAAAAACATGTCATGCAAAAAGTGGGAGAGGGACATGGAAGTAATATATAACCTTTCCATGCTGCACTTGGGCCGTTTTTATTTCAGCCCTCAAAGTCTCAATTGTCACAACATGTGCCTCAAGTTGTTCCCTGAGATCCTGAATCAGTTTAAGCTAGTAAGTAGCAAATTACGAAGACACAAAATTATTGTCATGTCGAAGGAGCCAACTTACAGCATTAGATTTTTCTAGTCTTCGGACATCGTCTAGTGAAACAGGACCATCAGGAGAACCAATACCAAGACCCTTTAGCCTCTTGCTTCCAGAACCACCCTCCTCTTCAGGATCAAACAAAATAGAAGTGCATATATCAAAACTTGTAACATAGCATGACCATCAAACCATGATAACTATCAAAACTTGTAACATACTGCCTCTGTCCCAAAAAGAATGCAATTCACACTTCCCAAGTAGTCAAACAAATTCAAGTTTGACCAAATTTATACCAGAAAGTACTAATATTTATGATGCCAAATAAGTATCATTAGATTAATAATCAAATATGTTTTCATTTTCATAGTAAACCTATTTTTGGGAATATAAATATTTATATTATTTTCTACAAACTTGGTCAAACTTAAGGAAGTTTGACTTATCCCAAACCTACAATTGCATTCTTTTTGGATGGAGGAATAGTCATGATCACCAAACAATAATAAGATAGAAAACTCCTCACCTGACTTCCTCTTAAGAATGGGAGCTCCATTTTCTAAACAACTGATTGCATTAACTTCCCGGTAGACAAATACAAAGGATTTGTCTGCAAAAGCAACATTCAACTTGAATAGAAGATTTGCAGCATCAATCACAAGACAACAGTGACAACATGCCACAGAAACATTATGATGAATTGAACAGAGTGAATACCTACCCTAGTGAACCCAGTATGAATGAATCAGAGCTATTCACAGGATCTTACCGTCATGAGGAGGTGATGAAAATGATATAATGTCCCCATGATTAAGCTTGACCGGGGATGAATTTTTCTTGAGCCTTGTCCAGTTAACGAATGTGCCATTTGAACTGCACCAGAGATTAGTTCAACAAATGTAGGAAAAGAAAATGAAACTGGCAGATATCGAAAGATCCAGAAGAAGAAAAACCAAACCTTGTGTCCTTGAGGTAAACAGGCACAGGCTCGTGGCGGTTTAGCTCCCCTAAGACGGTGTCCTTGTATATCTTGCAATGCTTCCCACTGATCTGGTGGGCAAGAATCTGAAACCGCTCCTCAACAGTGCGTCCTAGGCAGTGCTCGTCAGCACTCAAAAGAATGTTCATTCCCTTCAGTTGATTCATAGAACTCCAATCAGATCGGTGAAGGAAATATTAATTGCAATGTTAGCAAGCCCAAGCCAACAACATCAATAGTAGACCATGAATTTCTTAGGCCATGAATTGAAACATATTAATGATAATAACAACAGGAACTCTGCACTTTTACCAATTATAAAGAAGCCTACTACATTCAGAATCAGTAACTGGTGAAGCCAAAACAAATTTAATAAACTGGCATTGACATTAACTAATAATAATAAAGCCCATCACAATAATAAACCAAATAATTCAACAGCTGTTTCAGCGATAAAAAAAGCAGGATGCTTGTTTCAACCCACGCATAGTTAATTTGAACAATACATCAAACAGGAATGCAGGCGAATACAAAGAAAGAAAGAAAGAAAGGAACACTGGCAATGCTTGAGTTTTAGGGTTAGGGTTTAAGAGAGGCAGGGGAGGGGGTGGGAAGGGAACCTGGGGCCGGAGGCGGGCCTTCTTGGAGATGGCGGTGAGGACGGCCCAGACGCCGGGCTCCGTCTCCTGGATTGGCTGGTCCGCGAACTTTTGCGCCACCGCGCGCACCTCGTCGGGGGTGACCTTGGGCGGCGTGGGCGTGGCCACGGAGCAGGACGCCTCGTCCTTGGCTGCCGTCTTGGGCGTCACCACGAGGTCGGCGCACGGGTCCGGCGCCATCGCGCGCGCGCGGAGGGCCCCGCCTCCCGCTGCCGGGGCGCGCGCCGTGGCGGGGAGGAGGAACGGTCGAGCGGGAAGCGGACGGGAGGGAACTGGCGGGTGGGGAGGAGTGGAAGCGTTTGGTGGACGGCGCCACGCTCACGCACGGGCACGGCGCGCGGCGAGTCCTGTCTCCTGCGGTAGTGCGCGGGCTGTGGAGTTCGTGGCGCGCCCGAGTTCGCGCCTTCGCGGGGGCCCGGGTATAAATTGTGGGGATTTGCGCGGGAGTCGGACGGACCGGTTGGGCCGGGTACAGTAGTGTGCCGAGGAAGGAAGCGCGCTAGATGGTTGGGTGATGGAGATGAACCGAAACGTAACTGGCATCACGGAAGGTCGATCGATGGCCTTCGGTTGTGACATGTGAAACTGGCATCTTAATTTTTCAAAAAAAAAAGAACTGGCATCTTGCAAGATGAATATTTTGCATGGAACTTATAATTTCAGTAGAAATATAAAAGCTCCATAGGCTTTTTTAAATGAAGAAAGCTTTATTAAAAATAAAGTTCCGCACTTTGAAACAAAGAAAAAAAAAGTAAAAAAACGAGAGAAATCAGACCCCAAAAGCCTGTAGCATCTCGGTTTCAGACTAAACGTAATCTCAAAACTAATTATCAACCTACAATTCAGCTACAGAGAAATGGTTTGAAGCAGTTGCATGTATTCTCTTGTACCACAAAGTGATAGACAAAGTCTCTAAACGTGTCGTCCTTCTACAAAAAGAAGTATGTGCAGTGCATCTATAACATTCATCGGCTTTGCTCTAGCTAATCATGAGACCATGAGAATGGGATGGGACGGTCCTCGTTTCAAATGTGTTTGATTCAGAGTCAAGAGTGAGATGCAGAATATCCCTCCGAATATTTCGTGAATACGTTCTCAAATTGGAAATCCTCCCATCCTCCAAAAATGAGGGGATGATGAAGGACGAGGTGGGACGAGTGGGCTTCACGAGCTGTTGCAATCCTAAAAAGAGGTTAATAGGTAGACCCTACATGTCAAATTCATCATCCCAAACTTTTTTCTCCAAACCAACCAGAAACACATGGACCATTCTATCCCCTTCAACCAAACACGAAACGAGGTCGGTTTCATACCTAAAAACTAGTCTGGGTCCGTCCCATTCCACCGTGACTCTGAACCAGACACACAAACATGACCTTGATAATCACATAGGGTGACTAAATCAGTTGAATAGATTTGTCGATGTTCCTTTAAGCGATGTATGAGATTCTTCTTCCACAAAACCCCATCAAACTGAGCTCCCTTCTCCTGAAATACAGGTTGACCCGTCGCAAAGCTGAAGAGGAAGACACATCCACCATGTCCACAAGCCAACGCAGGTCCATTGGCAATCAACGCTGCACATAGCATGTTATCCAAAGTAGCACCTGCAAAGAGGATGCGACGTGAGAAGTCGCCTTTCGCTGTCCGAATACGAGGAAAGTTTTCACCTAGACAGGATAGAAGGGAGGGGAGGACTTGCCACGACAACGCCTTCACGGAGGAGAACGGCGCCTATGGGCGTCACTGTCATCAAAGTTGGCGACGACATGGTATGGTTTTCACCACAAAAATCCTTGTTGACACGCACCTCTTTCCATCCACACAAATCTAAAAATTTTCTATGGATGGAGCTTCCCCAAATATAAAGCAAAAATTCATTATGAACGATGTCTTTATCCCCCTTGACTCCCAACCAAACCCCATAAAAGAAGAGAACCGTCCTATCTTGTCCCACGTCGTCCCTAAACCAGAACGTCACTTAAAGCACCTAATATTTATATAATGGGGGTCTCAGAATATTTGATTTAATTGAATTAAAAATAGATGAGGCCTAATTAAAATCCAACACTGGTCACTATTAGTGCGTGTTTTATAATAATCATCTACGCTTATGCTGTAATTAGAAAAAACACAGGATCAGATTCATTTATTAAACAAAGTCATAGGCGAAGTGTCTCTTTTTTGCATCTATATCTAGGTGGAGGTTAAAGGGGCCTCCGCCCGCCCACCTTAGACAGTTAGACTTAAGCTAATAGCTGAGCCAACCCATAAAAAAATTGAAGGCCCAAGTCAGGCCATCCTCTCTTTTTATTTTGTTTTGATTTGAAAAGGTCATCCTCTCTTTTAGCAGTGGCAGGCGGGCAGCTCACATGGCCACCTCAGCCTTCCATTAGTCTCTAGTCTCTACTATTATATTCATGATATTCTACAATAAGCATGTCAAAGTTGTCTAAATACTCCATATTGTGATAATTTTTGTATGCTGTCACGCGCATCCTATTTTGTTTCTCTATGCATGTGAGACTATAAAATAAAATAAAACAAACAATTAAAAAAGAATATATATCCATATAAGTAAATAATGTTTCATTTCTATCACAGTGAGTTATATTATGAGCACATCAAATTTATTCCACTAGCATCAAAATTGTATTATCAAGAGAAAACTCTGTATCATCAGGAGTTTCGAACACTGAAATACACACACAAAAAAGATATATTTAGAACAATTGGACCAACTAAAGCTCTTTATTTTTGGGAAAAAAGTAAAACCAAACAAAGACAGCAATTCGAAAGCTGAAAAATATTGAATAACGAACATCCAAGACAAGCGATATTTGATTAACCAAGGTTAAAAAAACAAATAAATTTTGGAAATAGAACATAAAAAAAGAAAGGGAAAAAAATCTTGGCCAAGGTAATTTTTCTTAGATCATTATACAGTATATCATGTGGCAATAGCGGTTTGTATCCACGCGCTTCTTTTCATTTTCGGCACTTTTCTTTGGCACTTATAATTAAAGACCTTTACTGTCAAGGCGTCAAACTTTGACAGAGAGACCTCTGCATTTGATCTTTATTTTATCTTTGCTAGCGGAACCTCGGTCACAATTCACAAAGATATGACAATAGCGCGACATCATCTGGCACCAGCAAGCACGTCTATGATCATGAACTCTTAACGAATCATTGCCAACAAAAAGGCACACCAACTGCAAGACGCATTGCTAAAAAGGAGCACAACAGGCGTGCTACGGTGCTCCAAATCGCCTATTTGACTTGGCCAAAAGAACAATTTGGTGGCGGGCTCCGGCGGTTGAGCCTGCAGGACAACAGTTGGTTTCTCAATTCTCATCAACCGCAGTCAGTCCTCCGGTCGTGCGCCGTACTCCCGTCGCTCACCCACCGCAACCGGCGTGCATCAGTACAGGTACGGTGCCCAGGACGACACCGCAACCGGCGTGCATCAGTACAGGTACGGTGTCACGTGGTGTCACGTTCGTTTGGCTGATAAGTTATGATTGGAAATATTATTGACTGATTTATTGTAAGAGAAAAATAATGTTAGCTGACTAAAAAAGTACTGTTTTATAAGCCCAGCGAACGGGGACGCTGCACGACTGCACGCACGTGGCGTGAGTGACGTAGTCGTATTGATGGGCGACACGCGCCTCCGTAGTCTGTACGAGCAGGCACGGCCTTGAATGGAGTCCATTCTGGCCCGTAGGCGCACGTAACGGGCACCTCGCCGTGCCGGATCCCGGCTGCCACTGCCAAGTGCCAATGCCATGACCCAACCGCAGAAACAGCGTCCCGGGCGGCGGACGGCGGCCTTGGGAGGAGGCAAACTGGCAAAACTCGCCGTCCCGCCCACGCGGCCGCGCCCGCCCACCAGCGCCCCACCAAACTGTGCCGCTCGCTCCCGCCCTGATCTGAACGGAAATGCTCCGATCACGCCGGGCCGGGCGGCCGGCGGATCCCCAACCCGGAAAGCCACGCACTCCCCTTTTCTGTGCCATCATTCCGTCTACTGCCCCCGCTGACCTGACCTCCCAAAAGCCAAGCGTTTCGCCTAGAATGCACGTGTAGATGCCGGCCCGCGCTACGGCCACCCGCGACCCGACCTGCCCTGGACCGCCGGGCGACCAACGCACATCCGGTTGGTTCGCGACAACGTCAAGGCAAAACGTCCCACGCGGGCACGAGAACTACTGAACTAGGCCTGCGTAGCGGCTGGCTAGCGAGGCGGCCGCTCTCTTGGACGATTGGCGTGGTGCGGAACTGGTACCGGAGTACCGGACGCCCGCGGCCGCACCATCCATAACGCACGCCACCCACCGCCACCTACTCGCTACTCCTTTACTCGGCGCCGTGGTTGCCAGTTAACGGTTGCTTAAACTACTACTCCTCCGCCTACTAGTAGCGGCAACGGCAGCGGCCACCGCAGCCGAGCTGGTCAATGCTAATGCCGCCGCTGCTGCTGCGGCTGCGTGCGGTGGCACAGCGCGGCCTGTCCCTGTCCCGATGACGCGCCGCTCCCATGCCACGCCTGCCGCTTCGGCGGCGGTTCTTCTGGCCGCGCTGCTGGTGCTGCATTGCCAGTGCCACCGCGCCGGCGCGGCGACGGACGCGGAGCGGCGGGCGCTGCTGGACTTCAAGGCGGCGGTGACGGCGGACCCGGGGGGCGTGCTGGCGACGTGGATGCCCACGGGGGACCCCTGCGGCTTCGTCGGGGTGACCTGCGACGCGTCCACGGGCGCCGTGACGCGGCTGCGCATCCACGGCGCGGGGCTGGCGGGCACGCTCACGCCCTCCCTCGCGCGCCTCCCGGCGCTCGAGTCCGTCTCGCTCTTCGGCAACGCCCTCACGGGCGGCGTCCCCTCCAGCTTCCGCGCGCTCGCGCCCGCGCTCCGCAAGCTCAACCTCAGCCGGAACGCGCTCGACGGCGAGATCCCGCCGTTCCTCGGCGCCTTCCCGTGGCTCCGCCTGCTCGACCTCTCCTACAACCGCTTCGCCGGCGGGATCCCCGCCGCGCTCTTCGACACCTGCCTCCGCCTCCGCTACGTCTCGCTCGCGCACAACGACCTCACGGGCCCCGTCCCGCCCGGCATTGCCAACTGCTCGCGCCTCGCCGGCTTCGACTTCTCCTACAACCGCCTCTCCGGCGAGTTCCCCGACCGGGTCTGCGCGCCGCCGGAGATGAACTACATCTCCGTCCGGAGCAACGCTCTCTCCGGGGACATAGCCGGCAAGCTCACCTCCTGCGGCAGCATTGACCTCTTCGACGTCGGCAGCAACAACTTCTCCGGAGCCGCGCCCTTTGCGCTTCTTGGCTCGGTAAACATCACCTACTTCAATGTCTCCTCCAACGCCTTTGACGGCGAAATCCCCAGCATTGCAACCTGCGGCACCAAATTCTCATACTTGGACGCGTCCGGCAACCGGCTCACGGGGCCAGTGCCGGAGAGCGTGGTGAATTGCCGCGACCTGAGGGTTTTGGATTTGGGGGCGAATGCTCTTACTGGATCTGTACCGCCTGTGATTGGGACACTGCGGTCGCTCTCCGTTCTCCGGCTCGCGGGCAATCCTCACATTTCTGGCTCGATTCCAGCTGAGCTTGGTGGGATTGAGATGCTTGTCACACTCGACCTCGCGGGCCTTGCTCTCACAGGAGAGATTCCAGGATCCCTCAACCAGTGCCGATTCTTGCTTGAACTGTAAGTGTTTGTTCAGTACTCGCACTGCTGCAATTCGCTTCTGGTAACAGTGTTTCCATGTACTGACTAGTAGCGAAATTAAATCAACACAGGAACCTGTCCGGCAACAAACTGCAAGGAGTTATCCCAGGCACACTCAACAACTTAACCTACCTCAAGATGCTTGATCTCCACAGGAACCAGCTTGATGGCGGCATTCCGGTCACACTTGGGCAGCTCACAAACCTTGTTCTTCTAGACCTCTCGGAGAATCAACTGACTGGGTCAATCCCTCCAGAGCTTGGGAACCTCTCTAACCTGACACATTTCAACGTGTCCTTCAATAACCTATCTGGCATGATCCCTTTGGAGCCAGTCTTGCAGAAATTTGATTACACTGCATACATGGGTAACCAGTTACTATGTGGCTCTCCATTGCCCAATAACTGTGGGACTGGGACGAAGCACCGCAAACGATTGGGTGTGCCTGTCATAATCGCCATTGTTGCTGCAGCCCTCATACTTATTGGAATATGCATTGTTTGTGCGTTAAACATCAAGGCTTATACACGTAAGAGTACAGAAGAGGACAGTAAGGAAGAGGAAGAGGTTCTTGTGTCTGAGAGCACTCCCCCAATTGCTTCTCCAGGCTCAAATGCCATCATTGGAAAATTGGTGCTTTTCAGCAAGAGCTTGCCTTCAAGGTACGAAGATTGGGAAACTGGAACTAAGGCGTTACTTGATAAAGACTGTCTCATTGGTGGTGGATCAATTGGTACAGTGTACAAGGCTACTTTTGAAAACAGCCTATCCATTGCTGTGAAGAAACTGGAGACACTAGGGAGGGTGAGAGGCCAAGATGAGTTTGAGCATGAGATGAGCCAGCTTGGTAACCTTAGCCACCCCAATCTGGTTGCTTTTCAGGGTTACTACTGGTCATCCTCGATGCAGTTGCTTCTCTCGGAATTTATGGCCAACGGGAGCTTGTACGACCACCTCCACGGTAACCGTCCTCATGCTTTCTCTGAGAGCAGCAGCAGAGGTACTGGAGGTGAACTGTTTTGGGAGCGGAGGTTCAACATTGCACTTGGAGCGGCCCATGCACTTGCTTACCTCCACCATGATTGCCGGCCACAGATCCTGCATCTCAACATCAAGTCCTCCAACATTATGTTAGATGGGAAATATGAAGCTAAGCTATCTGATTATGGATTGGCGAAGCTGTTGCCAATACTAGGAAGCATTGAATTGAGTAGAATTCACACTGCAATTGGGTACATTGCACCAGAGCTGGCATCTCCGACTTTGAGATATAGCGACAAGAGTGATGTATTTAGCTTTGGGGTGGTTTTGCTTGAGATCGTGACAGGGCGGAAACCTGTGGACAGCCCTGGGGTGGCTACAGCTGTGGTTCTCCGTGATTATGTAAGAGAGATATTGGAGGATGGAACCGCATCGGACTGCTTTGATCGAAGCCTGAGGGGATTTGTTGAAGCTGAATTGGTTCAAGTTCTCAAATTGGGTCTGGTATGCACTTCCAATACACCATCAAGCCGACCTAGCATGGCAGAAGTGGTACAGTTCTTGGAGTCCGTTAGAATTAGCTCTTGATCTTCTGCTGTCAGAACATAGTAGCAGAATAGGATGTTAACAGGAAAAGTGTTTTCTGATTTTTCTACAGATGAAGGTCACATTCTTTTTTTTTATTCTTTACTGTGGCACAGCTTCATTTGTAAATTGTATTTAGATTTATTGCTGAATAAGTGATTGTTTTGGTCAAATTACCAAATCCATGTCTGTGATTTTATCCTTTTGGTTTTCGGTCTATGTAAGGCTCTTTCTAAGCTGAACCTATGTAATTTTTTTTTGCAAATGCAAGAGCAGTTGCTGAGATCTGAAGACCATTTTTCTTCATGGTCTGAGCTTAAAGAGGAGTTGGTACTGTCTAATTGTATTGCAGGCATAGCAAAGGAACAGTTGAACAAGAGCAGTGTGATGCAGGAGCAGCTCATCTAACCCACAAGTTCTCTCCTACATATATCAGCAGTGCAGGCAAGATGCAGCAACACAGCACAAATTTCATCTCCAAATTCCAAACCAAATATCTGAAAAATGAATGGGGAGCTTGAGCTGCCCGAATTCAACCCTCGGGAACGCGTCAAGCAGCAGATTTCAGTCCCATTTCTCTGGGAGGTGAAGCCCGGTGCTCCGAAGAGGGACTGGGTCATCTCCAAGCCAGTGCCAGTAGCGTTCGCATGCCCATCCCCTACCCCGACAAAGCTTGTTGTGAGCGTGCCATTCCAGTGGGAAGAAAAGCCTGGGAAGCCTCTGCAGGAAGCATCTCCCTTCCATGTGCTTCCCCCGGATCATGGTGGCTTTTCAGCATCTTCCCGCTCACTGAACCCATTTGTGGTCGAGAGCGAGGAGGAATACTCGCTTGGTTTTGAGCTGGAAGCATTTGGTTTTCCAGACAGCAGCGATACCTCTGGTGCTGCAGCATGGGCAGATGGCTCCTCCGGCCGTCGTGATGGCTGGTTCTCGTTTTCAGAGTCAGAAGACTACAGCCACTCCAGTGGTGATACTTCAGCACAGGACCAGGAGTTTCAGTTTCAGTTTCCCCGGGCGCCTTCAGAGAAGAGCTGGGAGGTGGCCAATGACGAGGACCAGCTGAACAAGAGCAATCCATGGAGCCCTCCGAGGAGCGCGGCGACGACACTGGAGGAGCTTATGGTGCTCAGCCGGAGACTGAGGTGCGGACAAGCTCTGCCGGTTGACGTCGGGAAGAAGAGCCTCTCCTCCGTGGTAATTCTCTACTACCATTCACTTTCATATTTCTTTACGTCTGCATCAGTAAATCTGAAACAACCTTGCCCTTCATTTAATAGTCAGAGACAAGCTTGAGAATCCGTAAAGTTAGTTAGCATCAATTAGTTAACAATACAAAAAGTATCACATCACTACAGCATATTCAGACAAATTCATATCATATCGTTGTGGGAATGGGGCCCATTACATCTGCTGCACTGCCGTTGAGGCAACAGGCAAGCCATGGATGCATCTTCTCATTGGCGAGCAGACGTTGTTTTTATTATTGTATTATTGTCAGTGTGTGATGCAGACACCACAACTGCTTTCGCTAATGACAGTGCTTTGTCCCTGCTCTTGCTTTGTCTGATGTTTCAGGAGCTCATGAAGAAGCTCTTCATCGTGTGTTCTTAGCTGCACATGGCCAAACGGTACAGAATGCATGTGAGACCATAATGGAGGAAGCATGTCAAAGTGGGGTGTTCGCAAGTAGAAAGCCTAGCTGTCGGGTGACTGGTGTTCTACTGTCTTCTCGTGAAAATCTCTCTCTCTTTTTTTAAATTAAACGGTGTGCAAGAGACACACTGCATTTTTCTTTGTACAACAGATTTGAAAGAAATGATCCATTGTTGGTCCATCTTATCATTCATTCATGTGGCATGGAGGTAGTAGTTTTTTTTTCCGACAACATGGAGGTAGTAGGTATTGAATGTGAAACTAGTGAACTTTTGTCACACCATCTAAGACTGTATTAGAGTTCATGTGAAACTAGTAAACTTTTGTTACACCATCTCAAAGACCATGTATTAGAGTTCATGTGAAACTAGTGAACTTTTGTTACACCATCTCGAAGACCATGCATAAAAGGCGGCTCTAATCTCTCGAGATGGAGATACATAAAAACAATGGGACCGTTTGGTGAAATTAAAAAAAAGAACTGTTTGGTGAAATACAAAAAAAGAAGCAATGACTCTATGCTTAAAAGGTAGAGCTAATTCGGAAGAAATGGAACTGTTTAGTGACATGCCAAAAGAATTACAAAAATAGTTTGGTGAAATGAAAAGGTAGAGCTAATTCAGAAGAAATGGAACTGTTTAGTGACATGCCAAAAGAAATTCCAAAAATAGTTTGGTGAAATGAAAAATATGGAACTGTTTAGTGACATGCCAAAAAAAAATCCAAAGATAGTTTGGTGAAATGAAAGGTAGAGCTAATTCAGAAGAAATGGAACTGTTTAGTGTCATGACAATAGAAAATTCAAAAATAGTTTGGTGAAATGAAAAATATGGAACTGTTTAGTGACATGCCAAAAATATTCCAAAAACAGTTTAGTGACATGCCAAAAAAATCTCAAAGTCAGTTTGGTGTATGTTGTCAAAAGAAAAAGTCAGTTTGGTGTAATGAAAATCAAATCATTAATCAAATCACTAGAAGGAGGGCTTGAACCTCCGACCTTATGATTAATTAAGGGCCATACAATCTAACCAACTGAGCTATTCTAGCTTATATTAAGAATTCTTTAATATTTTAAATAGTTTTAACTTTTTTATGAATCCAGTCATCCTCAACCCAATGATGGAAAATACGAGATCGTGATTCCATTCTTACTACCGAACAAATGGTTACCTGAATTGAAGAATTCGAGATCACGCGTCGCTGTCGCATATTCGGATCGCACCATGGCCGCCCAAAGCTCCTGGGCCCCTGGCCAATAGCTCCCAGCAGCAAGAAGCCCAGGCACGCTCGCTGACTCGCTGTGCATGTGTGTCCGGCAGCACCCGCTGAACCGAAGCAACCACAAAGCGTCAAAATGACATTACCTCAATCCAGTTGTTCTCCAGCTAGACCAAGGTCTCGTTTAGATTGGGGTTAGGAATCAGTATTCGACACTGTAGCATTTTTATTTGTATTTGACAATTATTGTCTAATCATGGCTTAACTAGGTTTAAAAGATTCGTCTCGTAATTTACAATCAAACTGTGTAATTAGTTATTTTTTTATCTACATTTAATAATCCATGTATGTGTCCAAAAATTTAATGTGATAGAGAGAGAGTGAAAAAACTTGCAATCTAAACAAGGCCCAAGTCGGTTTAATGGCCGCACCAACTTTGGATCACGAGCCAGCATTACGCAGGATCATATATCATACATCCAGAGTCATGGCAACCACCCCCTCCAGTCCTTGCCTTTGCCCTTGTCCGATGGATACGACAAACGGTACGCGCCAAAGGACGATGCTAACAAGCTGTCCTCCAGCAAACAATGTTCGCCACACAAATGGCAGTACAAACAGAGTTAATAATCGATACGGTGAACACTACTTTACCATAGCATGATGGATGTGTTCATGTGTCCATGGTCAATTGGTCGTCACAAGAACAGAGCAAATACATAACATACAACTTTCCCGTCATCTTCCGACAATAATTGTACATTTGAGCACAAGGTACCAAAATCCCTACCTAGTTTCCTAGACTGATCGAGTTGGCAACAATGATACAAAACCAAGGGCCGTCAGCGCCTTCCTCATACGGACAGATCCCTTGTATGCTACCTTGACGACATGTACAGTATGTACAACTCAAAATTCCAATAAAAAGAATGCTATACGGAGAGCCCCACGGCTGGCCAAGCTGTTAACTTTGCCCATCCCTTCGTGTTCCCATATCGCCGCAAAAGGGGATTGGTGTGTAATTGTTTCTCCAATGTATTCATGGCATGTGCAAAGAGTCGATGCACAAATAAATCACTGTCAGTCAAAAGAATGTTGTAGCTAGGCAATTAGAGTGATCTGTTGTGAGCTTCAAGCATAACCGCTTTATCCTGTAATGGAAGCTGAAATATGATCAGGTATGGAGTTATAACAACAACAACATAGCCTTTCAGTCCCAAGCAAGTTGGGGTAGGCTAGAGTTGAAACCCACCAAGAGTCCCAAGTTCAGGTTCAGGCACTTCAATAGCTGCTTTTCAAGCACTCCTATTCAAACATAGATCTCTAGGTATATCCCAAGCTTTTAAATCTTTTTTTTTATTGCCTCCCCCAAGTCAATTTCGGTCTTCATCTACCTCTCATATTATTAACTTGGCTTAGGACTCCACAATGCACTGGTGCCTCTGGAGGTCTCCTTTAGACATGGCCAAACCACCTTAACCGATGTTGGACAAGCTTTTCTAATACCAATTGAACAAATGGGGTTGGCTCTACTATTTAAAGATTTATATATATTGATAAGTAGCCATTAAGAGTGATCCTAGTTTTCATTGAAGAAGAAAACTTCTATTTTCAGATTCAAGTGTACATAAGAAAAAGAACTGGAATGGCATATAACGTACCTCAACCGATTAACAAAAGAAAAACACAAATGTGATATTTCACTAAGTAGTTTGTCTTTGACACTTCTTCAAAACCTAACATGTCAAAGATTCTAGATCATGAAATTTGAACAAGGCGTTACGCCTTTACCACTCCAGCCAACAATGTCAATAAGTCAAGCTTTGAATAAAATCAGCAAAGAGGGTAGTAAAGGATACCTCACTCTGCATACTGTTTTCCGAGGGGAACCAACGCATAAGGGTGCCAAGGTGCATTACCACAGGAATTAGTTTGAAAATGAGAGGAGTTGTTACCTGCAACAATGAACAGAAAAGTGAGAGATGTATACCTAACAGCTAAGGTCCACAATATAAGACAAAAAAGGTAATTACCAAGCTAAGGGCAGTTGTTCCCAGTAATAGTAGATACATTTTCCCCTGAAAAATAATTTTAAACAGTTAAGAAATTGTAACCATGAATGTGTGGCAATCTGGAGTTGTTGTTCTAAAATATGAACATATGTTTAAAAGAAACACATGAAAAAGATAGGTTAATTTACCCCAACAAGATGGAGATGGGAGGCACGGCTCAAAAGCACAAAAGCAAACTCTCCTATCTGAGCTAAGGACAGCCCAACCTTGACCAAATAAGAAGGAAAGTGTGAGTATACATTTCAAGATTGGTGAAAAACTGATGGAGAACCACCAACGGAAGATACTTACAACAAAAGCTGTTCTGATGCTGTATCCAAATGCCTTTACAACAATAGTTACGACAATACTCTTTACTATTATAACCAGTATAACAGCTGCAAGTAATATGTCAACATGATTCCACAAGAACTTAACATGTATGAGCATTCCAATACTTGCAAGGAAGAGCGCTGCAAACAGATTGCGAATGGCTTCGACCTTAAAATAAAGGAGAAAAGTTAGTTATATATAGAGAGAGTTCAACTTTACTAAAATGAAATGTCCTTAAAGCATGCTAAACCAAGATCAAGCAAAGTAATAACATAAGTGCATTCCTTCCAAAGCAGCCTAACTCCTATTGATGTAAAGAAGGGAAAGAGAAAAAACAAAGAAACAGTTGATTTCCGGACTTCCAGTAATGTCAACTAGTCACACCAAAGTACAACGTGAGCTGGATTCAGAATAGCACCTGCTCCAAAGTATGATGAGCAAAATCTGTGGTTGATATCATAACGCCAGCAAGGAATGACCCCAATTCAAGACTCAATCCATAATAGTCACTGCACTGGCAAATCCAAAATTACGACGTCAGTCTACATGGTTAATGTTGTACTTGTATGGATGCTGATGGAATTTTGAAATATCTCAAGAGAAAAATGAAAGAAAATAAAAGCATTATACTAACAGTTGCCCCTCTCATGTCAGATTCACCCTAAACTAGCATGGGTTTATCTCTATAGTTGTCTCATGCATAATGAACCAACTCCTTCATACAGGGAAAAATAAAACATTATTTATTCTTAGCTCTCACAATGCTGCGGTCATTATTCAATTCCTGACTTAGTTGTCTCAATGCCAAATATGAGCAGCCACCAAAGTTGTGATAACAACATGAGTATAGAAGATAAAGTGAAGAAATCATTGCCATCTCAATTTCATGCTTCATGAGAACACTCTATGCTATACCAGTGCACAGGCAAGCATTTGACACTATTGCCATTTGTCACATTGCGCTTATATACCTCAAAAGTCATACTGGAGCAATAACAGAATATACTTTAATAAATGAAACAAGAAAAAAAAATTACCCAGGCTAGAAGTAAGCAAAATGCAACGGAGGCCAATTGGTAGAGTTCATTTGTCTGCAAATATTAAAAGAGCATTAGGAAGTGAGGGGGGGAAAAGGCAGGTACATCTGAAAATGTTCAGCAGGACATCATATGGAGGACATGTAGGAGTAAAGGTATCCCCCATTTTATCTCATTTGTGAAATAACGAAATAATATGCAAACAAGTCTAGTTTCAGTTTATGCTTTGCATACCCAGATGTGCTCGCCAAACAGTAAAGAACAATATGATGTAGCCAAGTTTTTTTATATTTTCTAAAACAAAAAGGTTTTGCAGCATAAAGAACATGCATTTCTTGTAACAAGACAGAGTGGAGACAAATTGATTTTGCAAATAATTATCTTTATAATAACCTCTTCTGCACAAGAGAGTGAAAAGAAAAGATAACCACCCTGCCTCATGTGCAAACACACTTAAGGAAAACGAGTAAAAAAGTAATGCAGCACCAAGCTGCCAAAAGCATCATTAAGGATCTATGCAAAGAAAAGCCAAACTCAGAGCTAGAACAAAGAGGAGCATCACAATTGGCCTAACCTGTGAAGATAACTGAATCATCAATTTTAAGAATCGGGGAACAATTGACCATGTCATCATATATGTAACAGCTACAAATATGGATAGCACAAGCAACCTGCACATGCAAAACATTTCATGACATGACTCGAGACAAAAGAAAAGCAGTCAGATATATTTTTATGACATGGTAATATTCTTACAGTTTCGCCATTGACATCACTCCTCCAAAATGCCACTAGCACCTCCAAGAACAGGAAGGAGAGCAAACAGCAGGCCAACTGCACAATCCTGGAGTAAGGGAGACACGAAACACAGATGACATCACTGAATCTTAATCGCAAGCAGTTATACCACTAGCCCATAGAACCTGCTTCCCTTAAAGGGATCTTACCATACCAAGAAACATTAAGTACAATTTCTTTCACTGCTCAAATACTAGTTAACTTGGCCATGTACTAAATGTTAAGTTCACCCTCCATGTATTTTCTTAAGCTCTACAGAATAATCTAATATCCAAATAAGAGAGAGGTTTACCCTACTACATGAGTTAAAGATTCCAATATCAGTTTTTCAAACAAAACCAATATTTTTCCCAGATCATAACAATAGATGAGAAAATATATGAAAGAATTGGATGAGAGTCCTCACCTGAAGTATTAGCGTTCCAATTGTAACTTGACCATGAAGCGTGTTTGTACTACCTTTTTCCACTAAAAACTTCGAAACCTAGAAAAATGGTAACAGATTGAAGATCCTCAAAATTCTTAACTAATGTCTGAAAACAATTTGCCAGACTATTCATATAATTGGAACATGCCCAAAAATATTCCACCTACTCCATTCTTCAGCTGAAATGCCCAATCAAATTGTAATAGTAAATTGTGGGTTGTTTTAATTTTGTTCTTAGTCAAACTAGTCTAAGTTTGACCAGCATACCATGTTTATAGGAGAATGGATCAACATCTAGCACACATCAAAATAACCTTACTAAAATCAAAATTGAAACATGCATTAATGATACTTTTATTCGGTTTTGTAAATGTTAACATATTTGTCTATAAACTTGGTCAAAGTTAGAGTAGTTTGACTTAGAACAAAACTAAAATGACTTACAATTTGAAACGGAGGGTGTATTTAAAATGACAGCCACATTGAACAAATATACTTACCACTGCAGTAGATGACATAGACAAGAAGGCACCGACAAACACTCCTTCGGATGATTTAGCACCACACAACTGGAAAAATTGCAAATTAATTTTAGGAGAGCAGTTCTTCTATTACAGTGCAACATCCAACATGTATCCAAGAAACAAGAAAGACAATTTAAAGCTTGATAGACGCATATACCGCTGCAGTGAGGCCACATAAGAACATGAACAGAGCAATCTGAAGCAGACCTCCAAGTACAGCAACAGGACCAACGACTTTCAACTGATAGAAATGACAGGCACAGTAAGGGAACCTTTTGATATGTACACTTGTCAAAAATACTTTGGAAAGAGATATATTGGACTGAAGACAACATCCAGAGATTTTTTTAGTACCTTAGTCAGTGAAAACTCGAGACCAAGAGCAAAAAGAAGAAACACTACACCAAATTGAGCAAAAGTCTCCACCTGTAGTTGAACACAATAATTCTGATAAGTATGTGACTTCAATTTGCCAAATGGAATTAATCTTCTGGTGAGTATGATTTAAGAGTAAGAAAATTGTCTGGGCCATGCTCCTTTAAGTTTAACCAAATTATGAGTCTTGTCCTTTCAAAGTCTATACTAGCCCTTTGATGGGCATATATAATAGAAAAGGGAGAAAAGTAAGAAAGAAAAAGGGACAAAAGTGCAATTTGTATTGTAAGCTGTTAATGATCATGTTACCTGCACCATTTCATTGATAAAGTTCAACCCCCCAGGTCCAACTAGAGAACCAGCAAGTAGGTAGCCAACGATAACCTGGAAGAATAACATATATCATGCCTACCGAATATGTAAGAAGTTAAGTACTTAAGTACAAAAATATCTCAAAATTACTGACCGGCTGCCCCATACAAGAGAATATGATACCACCACCAGTAGCTGAAACGATTATAATTACCAGATCTTTAATCAATCTGCATTGAGAAATTGTATATAACGAGTTATGGGGCCATAGGAGATTACATATGGGCACATACAGGTGAAGGTATGAAGGGGTGGGGGTGGGGAGCAGCTGACCGTAAATCTAGTTGAAGAGTTGGATACTTTGTTTTACGATTTGACATCACAAAAACATTATCCTGTGCAAAGTTAACGCCTTCAGTAAGCAGCTACCAGACCGATCATATGATGTTAAGTGAATTTACACACCTCCTTATCTATCACAGTTTCCAAGTCATCAGAGGTCTCATCCTGGCCTCCAAACATGTCACCTATTTGGAAAGGTTTTGGGGAACTGCACCAGAACCGGTGTGTAAGTCAGAAAGTTGATACAGAATGGTGCTACAGATATAGCAAGTTCGACAGATGATGTTGTTCAAATTCTGGCCATACTTAGCATGCTGTGAATCATTTTTCTTCTTGTCATGTGTAATGACAGCTACCGTCTCCAGAACAGCCTGAGCAAAAAACAAATTACTATTTTGTTTATAGCAAACCACACTGAAAGAAAAAAAAAATCTAGCAGCCAAAAACAACGTTTTCTAAATTTTCATGTCCATTTTTTTTTAAAAGTGAGCTGTTTCTATCCTTGCAATTCCACAGTTAAATACTCAGGGTAAATCAGATCACGAGATATTAGTAATTTCAACACAACACAAGAAGCAAAGCTATACCCAAATGATATAACGGGAGGCTGGGGAAAATTCACATACATCGAGTTACCTCGGCAGAACAACACACTTACAAAATATAAAGTTTCATAATAAGCATAAAACATATAACTAATCTGACATCTACATATATACGGCAAAGGAGCAAGTGCCATCGAAACACTGTATCTTGATATGAGAAGCTAAAAATCTAGTGATTAGCAAGGGTGTCATTTATCGCTCAGTCTCACTAATCCCTGCAGGTTGCTGAGGCACTTCACTTCACTTTTGTCACTGATTCACCAAGCAGATTCTAATTATGCAGGTGCATTGGAAACATTCCCTAAATGGAACTCTTCTCTTTGCTTTCATTGGAAACTACTTTCGCAGCAACAATACCATTCCATATTTATTCACTAGATTACCCATTACTAGTTCTTGTAGGTGACAATCTAGGGCAATAGTAGACATGCATGATGTTCATTCACCATTTGTGAACTTTTCACGGTGAACTTTTCAAAAAGGGCCCCATCTTACTAATAAATGCAAATGTGGTTCTTCGGGAAAAAGAAAAAACTAATAATTGTAAAGGTTACACAGCAGTTTCGGCAAACGTCATCGGAGAACAATAGGTCACATGCATGCAAGAGGAAAGTCACACCTACTTGATGATCTGATACGCTGTTGTTGAAGCTACTCTTGTCGGGAGCTGCAAGAGGATGAACAGAAGCACAAATCGTCATTCAAAAAAAATACTGAATGATATAATAAAAGCTGTAGCTACAGTACAGCAGATGCCGAAGCCCAAAGCTGTGACAAACTCTTGTCCGAGCCATTGCTACCCAGCTCGAACCTAAATGCCTGGCGCAGATCCAGATTCGTACCGTCGGGCGTGTCGCTGTCGGAGAACTCCTTGTCGAGCACGCGGCCGAACATCTCGGCGATGCTGCCGTCCCCGGAGGCGTTGTGCGTGCCGTTGGTGACGAGCGTCCCGTAGAACCTCTCCCGCATCTCCTTGTCGGGCCTGGCGAGCGCCGGCACGAGGAGACAGGCGAGCGCGATGACGGCCGCCGCGAGCCACCTGCGAGGAGAGGGCCCCGCTGCGGCGGCAGCGGCGGGGGCCATGGGATCGTGCGGGCGAGCGTGCGGCGCGGCCAAGGCGTGCAGGACGGCGGCGGGCAGCGGGCGGCGGGGAGAGCGAGATTTGCGGGTGGCGCGTCGGGGTCGGGGATCTCTTTTATTTCTCGCCGCGGGCGCGGGGAGAGTCGGAGAGAGGAGAGGGGAGATCCGGTGGAGTCGTCGTCCGATCGCACGAGCACGAGGCGGCGGCAAGCGGAGGGAGAGGCGTCCGCGTCGCGGCGCGGCGTGACGGCCCCCGGTGGTTATGCCCGGGGGTGGTGGTGCGCGCGCAGCAGGCAGCACTGCGGGAGCAGGGCCCACGGGTCAGTGGTTCCGATCCCACACACCAGCCGACGGCCGACGCGCGGCTTTCCAGTTGCACCAGGTCTCTGAATTTGATCGTGGATTCGTCATGTCACACGCACCGCATCTCTGAATTTCCTGGCTGTGTGGTTGCAGGCCTGTGGCGTGAATTTTCTCTGACATTGAAAGCGTCAAGACGTGACAGGATCAAACCCCACTCCAGCTTCACATGGACGCTTATCTTATCTCTTGAGCACGATGGTTCACATGGCACTATGCGCAGACTAATCCCCGTAGCAAGCGTTGGTTTCTGCTGGTCTTGCCGTCCTTCCGACTTTCACCTAGTGGTAGAAAATTAGCAATAGCAGTTTGGTCACAGGTCAGCGTTCGCGGAGACGCACACAGTGGCTGGCAGTGTTCGATAATGAAGATGCTTAGCTTAGGGGCCCGTCTCGGAATGATGGAAACCTCGAGCCCTGATTCTGAATTCCATCAGATATTTGCCGTTCCTGACAACAGAAGAATAGAAAACCTTCAGAACTCCACGCGGTTCAATTGGTGGACGAAAGTGTAAACTACCTCCGCCTCAACTGCTGCACTCAACGGATAGGTTAAGGTAGGAGTACTCCATGTGTCAGTATAATACTGGGACAGATCAGGTCACGTATTAATGCACCTTTGGTCATCCAATCCAATTGGAGAGCTGAAAGTCCTTGCTCGTAATAAGTAGGAGTAAACTACAGTGGGTTTCAGACGAGGACTTTGGTGTCTCCGGATGGTTCCAGAGCCCTCTGGACCCATGTGCTCGGAGCTTCGGACTCTTGCGGACCGTGCTCAGTCGTGGTTAGGTGTTTGTTGGAGAGAAATTATCAAACAGCCCCGGTGAAAGATCTCGCTCGACCAGTAACCTATTCCTGTCACGGCATCACGGCGACTCACTAGTCAAAGGACAACTGCGCTCTGCGCGTGTGCATGCAAGATCCAATGCTATCCTTTTGTAAACAACCACCGATCGCTGGTATCGACGTTCATTACAAGTTTTTGCTAGAGCACCGAACTACTAGGCTGCGCTCCACTAGTTTTGTGATCCCCGTGACTCCGTGAGCACTGACAGACACCGAAAGTGAGAGGGTTAGGCTTAAAGCTTAAGCTAGTATACGCAGTGATGGTCAGTTGGTCAGAACCCAAGACGAGCAGAGCAGCACCGTGTCGCAGGATTGTAGGTAGGCGTTGTTGGTCCGACCCACCGAGATGCCGGGGTATGGCGCGAATCCACCAGACCACTGTTACGAAGCAATCCGTTCATCAAGGAGAAGAACCAATAGGATTACAGAGATCCCATCCAACCAGATTAGTGACATGGATCAACCTTAGCCTTAGATCTAAATCCAACCATCAGTGTAATCTCTCCCTGTAATCACTGTAGTTTCGTACGGACTACTCCATCTTTCGGAACCGACATCACCGGGATCGCTACCCGTTGGGAAGCCGCGTATCCGCGTCCCCGAACGGGCGTCTGACAACTCCCGTGGCGTCGCTTCAACCTGTATAAATTGTGAGATCGATCAATGGAAAAGGAATGGTTCGATTCATTCTTTCTCTCGATCACTACTGCTTATAAACACGTTATCGCGACGCTCGAGAATCGAGAGAAGTTTTCGTCGAGAAAGGTGAGATGGATCCCAAACCTCACCGTCGATCATGACCGCCATTCTCTTGAGTTCCCCTCGCCGCCGCTCTCTGCTCTCGACGCCAAGACGCTGGCGGAGAGCCGCGCCAACACTGTCGCGTCTTCGGCGGTCGCCGCCAGCCGCGCAGCTCGCCGTCAGACTTTTCGCCAGTAAGCCGCCGCAACCGCGCCAGCGCCTCGCCATCGCCAACAACGGCGCCCGAGCTTGAGGCGGCGCGCACGCACCACCAGCCGGTCGCGACTCCACCACCACCACCGCCGCGCTACTGCAACTCCTCTTCGTTCGCTGCCGTCGCCGACCCGTGGTCATTCACCACAGTGGCGGACTAAAAGGACAACCCAGCAGACGCTGCTGCGTTCAAAGAGCCCGGCGATCCAGCCAATCCACAGCTCCGGCAAAGAATCGTCCCGCGGCAACCCCGGCGGCTCTGCTCCAGCAACTCCTCCGTCGGTGTGGGCGCGTCGCGTCCACCGTCGCCTGACCACCAAACCCGAGGAATACAGCCCCGGCCTCCGCCCCGGCTCCTGGACTGTGACCTTCCAGAGGCTCTCCAATGGAGTCCTCCCCAACCGCTCCAATGGTGAGGCTGGCCCCTCCGGCGAGGGGGGCTACTCGCCCAACTAAGCGACGGGCAGATGGAAGGAAGGGAGGAGGCGGAGGCAAGAATGGCGATTTACGGAACGACCGAAGCAATGAGTCGGAGTGGGTGGATGAGTTCTCAACCTTATCCCGCTAATAATTTATTTATGTCGTCCCGCCCTCACGTGTCGTCATGATATAATGTCGACATTGTGTGCTCATCCTAATAAAGCGCCTCTTGCTTGTGGCCGCCTCCGCATGTGACTTATTTAGTAGTATATTCTAATTTGTGATCTGTGACTATGTTTAGTACTAGTGACTACAGATTAGTACTATCGCTGACCATTCACTTCAAATCCTTCGGGGTTTTATCATGTAATTAGCGCTGCACATTGTGTCGGGACTTGGTTAAATGTTCAAAGTATTTGTTCGTGTGACAAATCCAATAGCATTTGTTCCAATTACTATTTTATTGCAATTATTTATATTTGTATTTTTGCAATACGACACAATTTTTAAGTCTACTTTAACTATGCAAAAGTTGAATACTTAAATAAATGTCACAATCACTTCACGTGTACCTTAAAAGAAATAATATTGGATATTTTAAATTTATTTGCCTTTGCAAATAAATAATTTATTTTATATGGTCTATATATTATGTCATCACATAATCATTACCTATAAAATGTTTCCAATATTTAAATTTCACATTAAATAAATCATTCTTGATTCAAATTTAATGTGCCATTTTATAGTTCACATTTAAGTTTTAAATTTTTACTTAAATATATTTTACATATATCTTACAACACATCAATTGCCTTACATTAAAACATTTATACAAATGTAGGCAAAATGTCCGAAGTTGTTGGCAAATTAAAAGACAAAGAATTTGACCAACTCGCACTTGATGGACATAATTTTCCAACATGGTCAATGGATCTCAAAGTTAGCCTCTCTTTTTACGGGGATTTTTATCATGCCATTCTTCCACCAAAAGAGGGTACTTCTAAGACTTTTGATGACAAAACTAAATATAGTGCCTTATACATCATAAGGGCTCATATACATCCAGGACCTCAAGTCCAATATTTGATGGAAGAAGATCCACGCACTTTGTGGAATGCTCTCAAACAACGCTATGAACAAAGAAAAGGCAATTGTCTTACACGAAGCTTTGCATGAATGGAACCATCTCCGTCTACAGGATTTTAAGACTGTTGGAGAATACAATCATGCAATTCACAAACTTTGTGCAAAACTCAAATTTTGTGAGAAAGAGCCTTCTGATGCGGACAAAATAGAAAGACTTTGTCTACTATGATGCTGCGAGATAGAATCCTTCACCAACAATACCGTGAGCGAAATTTCCAAGTTTATTACGAGTTAATTAATACTCTACTTCAGTAGAAACGGCATAATGAGATCCTTCTTTGGAACTCAAATAAACGCCCATTGGGTGCTTTGCCCCATTACAAAGTACACACAACCACTCGAACACAAACAAAGCAGGATGGTGCCAACAGAAACCATTCAGGAAATTCAAAAACAAAGGTAAAGGTAAAGGACAAGGTAACAATAACAAGCGCAAAAGAGAGCAAAAACCGCATGATTTTAACAAGGGTAAGGACATTCCTAAAAAGAATTTTGACAAATCCCAACTTTGTCAAAAATGTGGTTGTTACAGCCACATCACTAAGAAATGTCGTACTTCAAATCACTTGGTTGACTTGTACTTAAAGTCCGTTGGTCGTGATCGCCCAAATCAAGGACGCAAGTACGAAAGCTCATTTCAACTTCCAGAATGATGTTACGATGCAAGATGTTGCTCCGTACAACTTCACTAATGACATTAACATGGCAGAAGCTAGTTGCTCCAAAAGTGTCCCCAATACACTGAGCAACCACAAGACTCCACCACCTGCGGAAGACGACTTAATGGACACGGACAAGATGCTTGTAGAGTTTGCCTCTACTGACATGTTTGGAGATCTCAATTAGACTCCCATGGTCCCTAATTAGTACTATGTACTCATTATGTCCCGACAAAGTGTTGTAAATTATTGCTAAATATAGCAGATCTTGTAAATATTTGTGGCTTGTATGCTATATCCTATATATAGCACATATATGTACCAAGCACAATCGAAAATCAATAAAGTATGTATAATTATATATATATGTCATTCTCGCATTTCTAATTCTCTTTCATATATCAAGATTTCTACGGGACAAATCCAATGGAGGAGGAAATGTGCCTTGTAGATAGTGGTACTACAAATTCTATATACTAAGAAACACCAAATATTTCCTAACTCTAACTAAGAGACAAGGAAATGTCATAACAATCATTGGGCCTTGATCACGACGATAGTAGGCTCTGGTTGCGCTACTATTACGCTCCCCATGGGTACTCAAATAACAATTGAG